TGCACTGCAATCCCTGAGGTGCGTGATTCAAATCCCCCAGATGCTCTGCTGGAAAAGGAGGGACAATCTCCTCCTGTACCAGTAAGATCTGATTTGACGGTACACACACACACACACAAATAAATGAAATAAAATTAAAAAGAATAATCACAAAACCCAAACTAACTGACAACTGTTGAGTCAGTACCGAACTCCTAAAGTGACTACCATCAGATTTCTGAGGCTGTAAATCACAATGGGAGGAGACTGCTGCTATTTCTCCCCTGGAAGCATGAATAGATTTGAACCACTGCAGACACTTTGGATTAGTAGCGCAACTTGCTATGGACTACACCACCAAGCGCTCCCCTAATTAAAGAAAAATTATATCTAAAACTAAGTTACCAATGTGAAAGAAAAACAATATATTTCAAGATCAGGCAGTATCAACTATAATCTGTTGCTTGGGTCCTTGAAATAATTGACAATGCATTTCAATTCTCTCAAACCAGAAACAAGACTAAAGCAAACTTTTAGGTGGCTAGGGTATTTGGTTTTTAGTTCAATATTCTGACTTTAGGGAAAATGAAGCTGATCCAAAATGATATATAATCCTTAACTTTTGAAAGTGTCGACACTAAAAACACTTTGCAGTTCTAACTATGCTGTTAAGCTTATTTTAAAATGTAATTAAGGCAAGAAAGTGAATTAAAAAACAGGTAAATTATCTTCAATTTCCTAATTTTTAATATAGAAATAACAGTAGTTCTCTATCTTAGAGGGTTGTTGGATAGGTTGGCTGAGGTATTATTTGTAAAGCACAGTTCTCACTACATGCCAGGAATTACGAAATCTGTTATGTGAAAAATGGGCTTTGAAGTCAAGACAGACATTGTTTCCTATCCATGTGTGGTCTGCCACTTGCTAACTGTGTCTGGGCAAGTTACTTAAGCTTTATTCAGAGGTTTAATTTCTACATATTTAAAGTGAGAGTGCACTAGAACATAGAGTGGCAAAAAAAGGGAGAAGAAATGTTGAAATAAGAGAGATGAATGGAAGATTCAAAATGTAGTTCCAGAAGGCAAAGTATAACAAAACGTGCAAAGAAAATCAAAAGAGAAAAACATTTAGCATTTATCCAGCTGAAAGAATTGAAAAAATAAATTCAATCCTTGAGTTACAATAATGGGCAAAATCTTGAATGATACAAGAAGCATCAAAAGGTGATGTAGGGAATACAGAGCCATCCGACCAAAAATGAATTGGATGACACATAATTTATGTCAAGAAGCAGCATATGATCAAGAACCAATGGAGAACCAATGGAAAAAAATCCAAGCTACACTGAAGGCATTGGCAAAAAATAAGGTCCCAGGTCTTGATGAATACCAATTGACATGTTTCAATCTGTCCATGTTTACTAATCTATGCCAAGAAATGCAACTGACTGGAAGAAATCCTAATTCCATTCTAGAAAAAGATGGTATGACAGACTATAGAAATTATTCAACAATACAACTAATGTAACATGCAATTAAAATCTTGCTGAAGATCATGAAAAATCAGCTAGAATAGTAAATTAATAAGGAACTACTAGAAATTCAGACTAGATTCAGAAGAAGCTATAGCACCAGGGATGTCATTGCTGCTGACAGATGGATCTTGGCCAAAAGCAGAGAATACAAGAGAGATGTTTATCAGTGTTTTATTGATGCTGCTCTGGTATATTATGAATAACACTGAGAAGAATGGGAATCATAGGACACTTAATTGTGCTAATGTGAAACCTGTACCTAGACCTTGAGAAGCTGTTGTCCCACACAGAAAAAGAGAACACTGCATGGTTTAAAATCAGGAAACGTTTGTGTCAGGGCTGTATCATTTCTCTATACCTGGTCATCCACAATTTGCATTATGCAGATGACACAACCTAATGTTTGCTGAAAGCATAGAGGAATGAAAACATTAGCTGCAGAAGATCAAAGACTTTCAAATAAATTACACCTCAACATCAAGAAAATAAAATCCTCACCTCTGCACCAACAAGCCACGTTATGATAGATGGAGAAAAGATTGAAATTTTCAATGATTTAATTTTACTTGGGTCCACAACCAATACTCATAGTCAAGAAATTAAAAGACATGTTTCACTGGAAAAATCTATTGTTAAGGACTTCTCCAAAATGCTAAAGAGTAATGTCAGTTTAAAGACTGAAGTGTGAAAGTATGGAGAACTTGATTGACAGATGTGCTGTTGAATCAGAACCAACTCATAGCTGATCCTCCAGCAGATTTTCAGAGGCCATAAACTGCGTTGGAGGAGACTGCCCATCTTTTCCAGCACAGTACCTGGTGGATCTGACCCACTGACCTTTGTTTGCACCACTGAGTTTGAAACAGGAATTCCTTAACCACTATGCCTTCAAAAGACCAGTTCAATAGTTAGTTGCTGCTTAGATGATGGCAAACAGCTGCGCTCCTAGTTATGCTCACTATACTAAGAAGTTTAGAAGACAACTTGCTGCCCAGTAGACTGGGAGATCCAAATGTGTTCCCATTAAAAAAAAAATAAGGACTCAGGACCTCCTGCGGGCTGGAGTGTTGAAGAAGAAGCCTCTCTAGTTTGACGTATATAAAGCCTTTTTCCCACTGAGGGACCCAGTCTTCCAAAGACCCCGTTTGAGATATGGCAAAGCCAAAGCCGACATCCAGGACATCTTTTACAAGAGGACCGCATTACAGTGAAGTTTTATTCAGCCTATGGATCTGGTCAAAAAGCTTTTGATCTATTCAATCCAAACTTCCAATCTACCTGTCAACAGTTTGTAAAGAAGCACATGGAACTACAGAAATTGGGAGAGACAGATGAAGAGAAGTTATTTGTGGAAACAGGGAAAGCCTTATTGGCAGAAGGTGTCATTTTAAGACGTCTAGGAGAAGCAAAGCCCCAACAGAAAAGTGGTCATGTTTCCTGGAAATCTGAACACACAAGCCTCCAGCCCCAGACTGTGTTGGAAGAAAAGCAGCCGGAAAAAGTTACGCAGGAGCAGCATCCAGAGGCTCTGAAGGACAACTGAAAGGTCTACCACCTCCCTGAAGGCCTTGTGTACCATGTATACTGACACTGAAACCTTACTCACTAGATAGATGAGGAACTATTTTTAACAGCTAAAAAAAAAATAATAAAGACTGAAGTGTGCCCGACCCAACCATAGTCTTTTCCGTTACTTCCTATGCATCTGAAAGTTGGACAATGAATAAGAATTGACAGAAGAATAATTGAGACCTTTGAGGTGTAGTGTTGGAGAAGAGTACTGAATATCCCATGGACTGCCAAAAGAACAAATAAGTCTGTCTTGTAGGAGGCACAAGAAGGGTGCTCCTTGAAGGCAAGGAAGAAGAAACTTCTTCTCTCATATTTAAAGCATATTATTGTTGTTATGTGCCGTCAAGTCACTTGTGACTCATAGAGACCCTATATACAACAGCCCTAAACTCTGCTCTGTCCTGTCCCAATCACACTGTCTCTGACAC